CCCACCTGCAGCAGGGTTGGGGGTATCCTTAATCTTTCAGGTACTTCCACTGGGGTAAAGCTGGACACTTGGCTTTGATATGGAAAGGAATTTCAGGACTAGCTAACATGAGGCTGAGTGAGTGTTTATAAATGACATTTTAATACATCTTTAAAGCACGAGGGTGAATGACAGAGAGAGGTGGCCCAAGAAGGAATGTAATGATAACTCTTTCCGCCAGCTGCCTGGGTTCTGCGGCCACTTTAGGGCCCCCAAATAACACACAGAGTCTTATGTTAGTTACATTGCTGCTGGACAATGACTAGGATTTCTTATTTGATAGCTCAGTCTTAATTATTAACCATAACTACTAATCTATATATTTTTATAGGGCCTTATCTTACCGAGGATGCTGGCTGTATGCATTCTCTCTTCCTGGGATCACATGGTGACTCCCTCCCTTTTCTACATTTCCCAGAATCCTCCTTCTCTCCTAGTCCTGCCTAACTTGCTTCCCTATTGACCAACAGTGTTTTATTTATCAACCAATAAGACAAACATATACACAGAAGGACCTCCCCCATCAAAGGAAGAGTAAGGCATTGCATGCCTGGGCATGGGCTTCTCAAGAGAGGGTCTCAAGTGTTAACCTTGTGTACCATTTTGGTGACTTTAAGCCATCTCCAAGCATTGCTGGGAAACTTCCTTTCTTTCCCACTTTGATAATTAGGATGACAGGTGATTCCAGAGATATTTAGGATGGAATTATAATCTAATAAAGTAAAACTAAGAGCCACTAGGGCCATGCAAGGGGTTTGTAATATGTCTTTTTCCTGTTAAGGGGGTTTCCCACTGAGAGTTCTAGAGAACTGCAGGTGTAGCTTTGGAAATGTAGGGAGGCCTTAAGCAAATGTTAATTGTGCTAGAATATTTGATTCTTAGCTGGTGAGAGGCTTGAACCAAGCTCTGAGCGAGGAGCCCACGCCATTCCTTTCTCATGTCCCCCGCTTTCCAGTCTTTCTTTTCTGCCTCACTGACAGCGATCCTTTGATGTGGGCCCCTGCCTCTCCCCACTGAGTGGAAATGTTTGGTTCCCTCCCTAGAGATGGCGAACCCTGAGGTGGCTGGAAACAGCTGCAGCTCCCACCAGGATGAAAGTCCCTGTGCTTTCCACCAGAGCTCATCCCCCAGCGAGGATCTTCTCTTAGAAGACCAGATGAGGCGGAAACTCAAATTCTTCTTTATGAATCCTTGTGAGAAGTTCTGGGCTCGGGGTAGGAAGCCATGGAAACTTGCCATACAAATTCTGAAAATCGCAATGGTGACTGCCCAGGTTAGCATCTCCCAACACAGGTTATGTGCAAGCATCTTTGCATAGCAGAGAAGGAGGGTCTTGTTTATGAGACAACTTTTAACTGCATGCATGAAGACATAAAAAAAAAAAAGATACAACTGTCTTAGTTAGGGTTTCATTGCTGTGAAGGGACACCATGACCACAGCCACTCTTATAAAGGAAAACATTTAATTGGGGCCGGCTTACAGTTTTAGAGGTTCAGTCCATTATCATGATGATGGGAAAACATAGTGGAGGCCAGGTAGACACGGTGCTGGAGAAGCTGAGATCCCACATGAGCAAAAGCAGACTGTGTGTCCCACCGGGCTTAGCTTGAACATGAGAAGTCAACAGTGAGACACCTCCTCCAGCAAGGCCACACCTACTCCGGCAAAGCCACACCTCCTAATAGTGCCACCACCTATGGGCCAAGTATTCAAACACTTGAGTTTTGGGGACCATACATATTCAAACCACCTCAAC